AAGCCACTGCAGTGCAGGTGAACTCAGCTCCGATTCCCAAGCTGCCCGTGATTTAACCACAAACCTACAACAGGATATGTGTCGTCTCTGATAAGGGGGCCTATGGGTAAAGGAGGAGAGAGGGCATTTCCTGTATGATGTAATGTTATTAGCCTTGCTGTGATGTGCTGACTCCCACTCTCCCTCCTCCCACAAGTCAAGATTGTGTTATGACAATGATCCATGATTATAAAACAAAAAGTCACAGTAATGGTAAGCTTTGTTCTGCCAGACTGAATTGTACAAAAGCAGCTGACCACCGGTCCATGTTCTGTTCCTCAGTTATGTCAATGTAAATTAACTGGGTAAGGCATCTCATTTGGCAAGTCTTGATTCGTAGAGGATGCACAAGTTCAGGTAAGACAAGGTTTGAGGTCAGTGTGAGCGCGCGCCTGTGTGTATGTGTGTGTGTGTGTGTGTGGGTGGGAGAGTGTGTGTCTGTGTGTGGTTGTGACTGACGGACTGACCTCAGGTAGGTATAATGACTTTTTGTTATGTTGTGAGATCTTGAATTTGTCATGTAATTTCCCCCAATTGTCAAGGGACTGAACAGATTAATAAATTCATTGAATGCTGACATGTGTGATGCTCCTAATTTACTCACTGCAGTTATTCATCAACTGGAAGTTTTAAGGAAGACGCGTAGAAGAAACCCACCTGAACTTGGTCTATCTGGCGTTCACTTGCTGTTTGGCATGGCCTTAATTCAAACTGAAGACACTTTACACAGTCATCTTAAATAAGCAGTGTGACCTGATCAATGACACATTTTAATGGCATTACTGGCACCGTCTTGAGGTTTGTCAGCGGGTTATTGCACACTGCGATCCATTTTCTACCCTTGAGCCGTGCAGGACCAATACATCAATGTCAAGTTAACTAAATCCCTGTAATAACATTGCCTAATTAGTTGGCAGCTCCAGTTTGAGAATTCTGCAGCTGCTGGTTCGTTTCCAGCATGTGAAGGCTGACGTGACAAAGACTGAGATCATTACAAACTGACTGGGTTCAAGCAGGCACGGCCTCACTCTCAGATTCACCAGATTAAAGAGGATGATAAATCACCTTAACAATTTACACCCAGCTTTTAGTACTGTTTGGAAACAGTTTAACTGGCAAAAACCTGACTGATGAATCCAATTTTAAATGTCAACTACGGCCACGTGTAAGGGTAAAGGTGAAGCAACGATGGATGAAAACATTAATGTCTAATGTGTTGAATTACTACACTCTTTACATTCTGGAGCCTGCATTAGAGAAACAACACTGATTGTCTTGTGGCCATTATGCTCTACAAACCCCAAAAAGCAGTACCGAGGGAAAAAGTAAGTTAAAACCCCAGCCTGACTTTTTGACATTTTACCCTGCCATGTTAATAACACTATGCTGTAGAAATGTGTAGTTTTTGGCAAGTCAAATCACCCTTTATTTATATAGGCCTAGGACATTTAAACAACAGCCCCTGAGCCAAAGAGTAGAAAAATAAGATTGCTATTCCAAATTTACCTACCAGGTTTAAATATAAGGGTTAAAAACCTACATTATTATTATTATGTATGTTTACCTGGGTGACTTAAACATTTATACAAACACAAATGTATCTGACTAATTTTAAATATTAAGGATGATCCTACAACATTATATACAGACCTTGTACACATTAGCCTATGCTGAGGTTAAGAACCTACAATACTTTCACAAATTACCCAACTGATTGAAAACAAACTCCAGCAGAGCCAGGCTCTGGTAGGGAGGCTGTCTGACTTGACTGGTTAGAGTGAGAGTAAAGGTGTTAATAGACATTTTTAAATGACACCATATTTAAACAAAAACTGGAGCTGAATTTGAGCATAAATAACTAGGGAGTGGGACTTTTAGCTATATACCCTTTTTATTTTATATGTATTTATTTATTTATTTTACTGTTTGTTGTATTTTAAGAAATCTGTTTTTGCCCCAACATGGCATTGACAAGGTTTTTTAGATAACACAAATAAAGTAGACGTTAAATCTAAAGCTATATATAAATAGTTAATAGAGGCGAGCTTACCAGAGCAGCAGTACCTGCTGTTCAGCTGCCTTTGGTGAGAATACCAGATGCCCTTATGTTATATATGTCAATGTTTTCAATTTAGGATAAATTCAGCTTTTAGTTTCATATGCAAGACTGCAACAAAACCATCTCTTCTTTAAACCTTGCTGTTGTAGTAGTGTTAGGTGTAGGCTGCCTATCTAGTGACTATTAAGTGAACCTGTCGGAACATGTCTCTGGTAATAGTGTTAATGTCTGTTTTTTGTTTTTTTTCCTCCCCCCACTGTTCATGGCAAATAAATAGCCTATGATACACTGGAAATAACAAGAATAAAACTTTAATTTTACAGCCAAACTGCCTTCATTTTAGAATTTGGCTAAAACTAAAATGTTTAGTTTCTTTTAGGAAGTCTTTTGAACTTTATAAGGCAGAAGCTTATTTATCTGGCATTCTCTATTACTAATACTGACTCCACCAACTATGTGACCCGCATGTCACACACCAACGCCCGTGAGAAATACGGTTAAAAGAAAGCGGAATGTCCTTACTGTACCGCGGGGACAGCCACCGCAGCCCCCGGTGCCTGGCGGTCCGCCCCGGTGCGCTCTGCCGCGGCCTGAGCGCTGCTCTCAGCCCCTCTGATGCCCGCGTTATCCGGCTGTGCAGGGAGCTGCTGTGTCACTGGAACACGGAGATGTTTCAGGGACCAAATGGCAGCTTCAAAGTTCTTTTAAGTTTGTGTTATTGTTTTCTTTATAGTGAAATAAATATGGATGCTTGGTTAAAAACAATAACCTTATTTTCTTCCTGAAAGATAGGAATAATATGAAAAACGGAGGGTCTTATGTTTGATGGTAAGTTTATTTAAATGTCTGGAGAAGAGATATGAGAGCTGGGTGAGGGCATGCAGGACACCCACCAGGTCTTGGAGGTGTTTAGACCCTCAGTCACGCAGATCGGCGTCTTTATAATAAAATCACTTTGAATTGGTCGTCACGTTCTAAACTTTGCAGTACTTTTTGCATTAACTCAACATTGTTTATTTTTTTCCCCAATTATTATAATTTAATCTACTTTATCTTCTGACACTGTAACAACAGTTTCAGTCCTGTCCAGGCTGTCTTTAGGTTTGATTGTGTCAAACTCACAGATTTACAGTTTAAGTGTGTTTCCACCTAATTGAGACACATGGGAGAGCAAAGGAGGAGATTTATAAAGAAAGACAATTAATTTGCAGGTTTGTCACGCAAACAAAAACCTAAATATACGGTTACAGCAAAAAATTTAATAAAATTATATCGACTGAGCTCAAACCTAAATGATTAGATTTTTAAAAATAATTAAGGAAAGAAAATGATAATAATAAAAACAATTTAAAAAAAAAAAAACCTGCCACTTTCCTTCTATATAGTTTTACAACATTGTGTGCATTAAATAACGACTGAGCACTACAGATTTTTATTTTTTTTCCCCTCTATAGTGTAAAACATTAATTAAAGGTACCGTGGGGGCCGCAGTCTCACAGGAAGCGTTTGTTCTTCTAATGCACTGATTGAGTTTTCTTTTAACGCGTCTTACAATTCAATTAACGTGACTTAACACACGCTGCAATAAACACCAAGTGTTTGCTGTGAGCCTCTGTGTTTATTCCGTGAAGGAGAAGAGAGGGTCAGCGCTCGGACTCCTCGGTTAAGTGTCCGCTGTTAGATCAGCCATCAGCTCAGCAAACAGCCTCGATCCGCAGCAGCAGCAGCAGCAGTCTGGAGGGAAAAGAAAGGAAGAAGGAAAAAAGAAGGAAAAAAACACAGACCTGATCGAATCAAGTCGTAAAACGTGTGAAAACTTTACACGTGCAATCGGAGAGCTGTGATATACAGCTGTCAGAAGTGTGTGTGTGTGTGTGAGAAAGAGAGCGCGCGCTCATTAAATTAGAGGCTGTTTACTAGAAGTCTAGTTGACTGTTTGCTGGTGTGAATGTGTGCCGTTGCTATTAAGAAAATACTACAGTGAACTATGTTTTGAGGGTTAATAATGCTGCGCAGTTGAATGTCGGATTATGTTAGTAGGCTAATAATCAAAATAATGTTCATTAACGTATAGTGGAAAGAGTGCCGAGTCTTTATTGAATTCGAAAAACCTCAAGAAACGTGTACATTTCCCTTTAAATCTCTTTCTCTGCTAGAAAACAACGTGAATTAAAAGTTATTTGTTTAAAAAAAAAAAAAAAAAAATTTAGTATAATTTAGGTGTAAAATGAAAGAGAATTCCTGCTAACTTCCTTGTGCTGACCCTCCTGTGGTTTTTCCGCTAGTGGGCGCTCTTGCCTTTCGGATGAACTGGAGCTGCGCTGCTGCTGCTGCTGCTGCCCGGTGCTCCACCACAGTCCTCTACCAGCCCTATAGGAGCCAATGTGTTCTCCTTCTCTTCATTATGGGACTTCCGCAATTAATGTAATGCTTTTCAGGAGTAAAAACCGCCATTATTTTACAAGAAGTCTGGTCTGCTCAGTTAACGAGAGATATTATTTTTTAACTGTACATAATCATTTTCGCCTTGTTGCACAAATAAAGCTTATGTGAAGAAGTGTTTTATTATGACAAAAAAACTGACATGAATTCTGCTCATAGTTGGTTTTCTCCACCTGCCTGTTGATAAAAGTAGAATTCAGCCATAGTTGTTCTTCCATTAGTCACCCTATTGAACCAGTTGCCCTCCTTGACTGACAGCAGAGCTCCGATCGACTTCCCCGCCGAGGGACCAATCAGCGGCGGAGGGGGGCGGGGCCTGGGCAGAACGAGCTCCACCAAATATTCCCAGTCGCGGACCCTTGCAGTTACTTTCCATCCAGGTTTCCGTGCAGACGTTGTGGCATCATCCTCCCTGCGTTTGTCTGCGGGCGTTTTTGCGGGGGAACGGATCAGCAGGATTGAGCTGAAACACTTGTTTTTTTTTTTCTGGTGGGGGAGGACCTCTAGTATGAGAACTTCCATTCCAGCTCTTTTGATTTATTTCATTCTCACATGTGATCATTTTCTTCATTTTGACCATCCGACCTCGTTATTTCGCCCTCATTTTTCTGCTGCTGTCACCCACAGTTTGTTGCTCACCACCACCAGCATCAGCTGAAAGGGGGATATCTCACCCTTCCACCACCAGCCATCCTTGTACTTTTCTCTGCCGCTGCTCTGGATTTTGGCGAGCATTTGGTGGACTATAACGCAGAGGGATTTATATTTGTATCGATTTCCATCTAAAGCCCGGTGCACCAGCGGACACCACCACTTTTCCTCTCCGAGGGATGTATAACAGCGGGTTGAAGTCTTGCGCCCTGATGAGGGGAGAATATTAACGCAGTGTCCGCTGAATGAACTACTGCCGTGCGCCTTTGGTTTTTGGAGCAGGTCTCTGATCTGGAGATGCTCTGATAGGGGTTTTTGGTCCGTGCGCATCCCCACTGGATCGGGATATAAGGTGAAGAAATTTCGGTCGGCTCTCTCTGGAGCGCTTGTCTTCTGATTTCTTTTTGAATGGACATACACATTTGGGGCTTTTTTTCGAGACGGATTGTGCATCCAAGCCGGAGGCACGTAGAATAACCATGGGGGACTCGATGTGGAGATATTATTTTGGAGTTTTGTTTATTGCCTTCAAAGTGGACTTGTGCCGGGCGCTCATCCTGGAGTCCATCTACTGGAACACAACAAACACCAAGTAAGTGGAGCGCAAGCCGCGCACATTACTGGCCCCCATAGCGCCGCACACGCTCTCCGTGTGGACACGATTTTATGACACAAAATAAGGCAATTTAATTTTGGTTGCATATACATATAAAACAACTCGACTCAAAATCCAGCCATAACCATTTAATGTAGCATGCCCACACAGGAGCAGAACAAAGAGCTCTCAGAATTGATGTAAATGTTCGAATTTATCCACGCCTTTTCAACTCATCATTTTTCCACGGCAGTGCGATCGCGTCTGGAAAGTCGGGTTTTGTCAAAATAAACACAGCTAGCTTGATCCTCTCGGTGCTTCTCAGAAAACCTCAATGATATGTTGAAATCCGGAATCAATCCCTGCCCGCTGTGCAGTTTATTTCGCACACTTTTTTCAACTGAGTTTGGGTTTTTCTTGCTTAATTGACAAGAATCGAGTTTAACCACGCAGGGCATTGCGCTTCCAAATGGTAAAGCAATCACCCGAAAACACATGTCAAGACAAAGGAGGCTATATTTAGCTGCTTAACTGATCCATTTATGTGTTTGTGCCTGGTCGCCGTTGGGGAATAGGGAATACGCACAGTGGACGGCGAAGGCCCGTTCGGCCGTGCGTTACGGTGGTATCCAACATGACACAAAACCCGCCTCGGAAGGTACCAGCTCAGTAGTTTGTTTTGTACATAGTTTTAATGAGCATATTTCTGTGCATTAGGTGATATGCGTGGCTCATTTTGAAATACATTTTAAAGGCAAAGCGCTTTTCTTGTCGGGATCACCAATAATTTCAAGTTACATGTATACAATTCATATTTAACAGGAACAGATCTGAATTAATTACAAATAGCAGAGCTGTAAAGGCGCTGAGCTCATGAGAATGCGCCTGTTTTCCCTCACAGTTGTGTTTCCACAGGATCATATATTTATTGTATTTTTTTTATCACCCGTATTGAAGATAATGATCATGATTCATGGTAGAACCAGTAGAGAAATGAAACCAGTTTGTTCCGACGAGGCGGAGGCTTGGTGGAGCTGATGGGACGTTACACCGGCCTCTTGTGCTTTGTTGCAGTTCGTGAAGGGTTCAAAATGGAATAATTCACTGAACAACGATGTGCATTTTGGAGTTATTTATGCTGGAAATATGGATAGTGTGAAGGAAACTTTTAATTTTAAAATCCAAGCTGCTGCTCTCCAACCATTTACAGAAGCCACAATGTAAAAGCTGCTATTGAATGCATGGTCCATACAGTGGAGTGCATGTTTCCAGCAGTGATCTTTACTGATCATCCGAAACAGGTCAAAGACAAACTAGATTTTCGTACTCCTGCATTTGTCCTCACACCCTCCAATCTAATGTAATCAGGCCCAGCTAAATATTCATCCAGGCCAAGAAAGGCGGTTAAACTCCTTTTCTGCAAATGGAGAAAGGTGTCTGTCTCCTGCTCTACACCCTGGTCTCGGCCCGCGGGGGGCGCCCGTCTTTGTGGCCGTTTCGTCACGGCTAAACTTCCAACTCCTTTCTAGAATTCAGCTTTAGGCTCCAGTGCAGCCAAAAGCCCCTCTCTCCCTCACTGAAACACTCACTGTGGGGGGAATGCTGATGGTCTAACAGGTGTCTATTGTAACAGGCTTCCGTGCGGGCTCCTGTAACTGCTGGAGATAAAGGTTAACGTGAGGCTGTGCACAGCCGTGCGCGCCGGGATGTCTGCCGTGTGTTTCAGGAGGATTTGTCTGCGGGAGTGGTCTGGGCTCTGCTTCTCCATATGCGGCAGCCTCGGCCTTCCAGCCTCTGGACTGCCACGGCCATCTGTGTCCAGACGCGTCGGTATCCAGACGGTGACGCACAAATTACTTAATTTTTAATAATAGAACATTAAACTTAATATAGGCTACAGTTGCACCGTGGACTCCTGTTTTCACCCACATGCAGCACTGTGCCTCCCAGTTGAGCTGTGATGTGAGTTTTTGAGACTATATATGATGACATTTAATGGCCATTTAATTTTGGAGGGTGATGATTAAACAACAACAACAACAAAAAAAGACAACAAATAGTTTAGCAGGAGGCATTGCTTGAGTCTGAGGTAGGGACAGAAGTGTAAAGCAGCAGACGACAGAAAGGAATCTATAGTTTTCATATATGGAAACGCTCATGTTTATGCTCTGCTCCCAGCAAGTCCTTTTTTTCCATTTTTTTTTAAAAACGTTTGTCCTTTCCATTTTTAAACTGCAACCCTGGCAGTGTAGTAGCCTATGCCATTTCACTTGGCATATCACATTTAATTGTGAAAAAGGAGCAAAAAGCAATAATAAAAGCGCGTCCAGCCTTGGAGCAAGTACAGGCCTCGGGCTGCCATAAATATACGTCCTGCGTTCCGGCGGAATTAGTGCGTGCGTTAGTGGAAGTTCTTGCGTCGCTTTTTTAAAATTTTTTTTTTAAAATCTGGCGAGCAGTTCAAAGGTAAAAGGCCAGAGAGTGATATCATTGGCCTTTTTGTGACTTTTTTGATTAGAGTATAAAGAGAATAAAATAAATGAAATGAATCTGAATGCCACCTGAGCGTTAGGCTGATTCAGCAAAAAATCTTTTCTTTAGGTTTTCATCATTACAAAGGAAGAGGTGGCAAGTTAGGAAGATCTACTCGTATTTTCACACTCAGTCCGATAACTAACTTTGTCTGGGAGTGTCGGCTCAATACCCAAACTTCTGTGATCCCCTTTTCACAGCTTGTTCAAAGTCCTCATGGCTGCTGCTCTGTAACAGAGAGCCTTAATATCTTTATTCAGCAGGTCAGCAATATGCTCAGCAGACCAAGTTGTCCCTGTCTCTGCGTCTCTCTTTTAGTTTGTGTTAGTCTTCCTCTTTGACTATTCAAAAAAGGATGAATGTTAGAAATGTGGAGTCTCCGGGCCAGTTTAATGCCTTTGTGTGTGTGTGTGTGTGTGTGTGTGTGTGTGTGTGTAGGCTGGGGGAGAGGATAAAGAAACAGCTAGCTCGCTCTCCCTCTCACTCCCTCAGTGTGTGCACTAAGTGTGCGTGCATCTATCAGTAAAAAAAATCCTTCACAGGGCCCGCGGCTGTCTCGATTAAACCTTTGTTGTTTGTGCTTTACTACTTTACTGCCCTTGTGCATGAACCCTCTAAGAAAAAAAAAAAAAAAGCAAGAGAATGACCCCACCACCTCCTCCTCCTCCTCACTCCGGTCTCCCCCACCATACATAGACACATCACATAGCACCACACACACCTCCTTCGTCTGGTAATCCATTTTGTAGTTGGGAGGGAGAAACAAAAAAGAGGCCTGCTTTACATGGTTTATGTAAAAAGAGAGCTCCCTCTACTCCACTGCAGTTCATTAAGAGATTACATAGAAGCCCCAAAGGCCCTTTGTGACCGGCCAGTCACGGGGGCACCTCTGTGGGTCCTTTTGTGAATGTTGGAAGGATGGAGGGAGGGAGGGAGGTGGCATAGAGATGCAGGTCTATCATGAATGACTGACGAGATCTTGTGCTGAATGTCGAAACGGTGCCCTTCCCCCCTTCCAGAACCTCCACCCTCACCCGTTAACTTTATTTCTTCTATTATCTTATTGGAAAGAATTATCCATTGTTTAAATGAGGCTAGCCGCTTCCCCCCAAAAAATAAAACAAAATGAACGAGCAATAGACTGAAATCCCGCCATGATTGTGTTCACACTGTTATTGTTGTAGAGGCTGACATTTTTTAAGATAATTGCCACAAGAAAAGTTACTGATTGAGATTGCGGTGAAATAACAGAGTGAGAAGAAAAAAGAGAGAAATGAAACTGAGCAGGAGTGAAGAAGGGAACAAAGCATCAGGGCCCCAGGGGGCAGGGTGGGTAATTATGTCTAGGCCTGCGCGGATCCCATCGGCCTGGATTACTGGATATAAGGTAGGGGCTGAAGGTACAGAGCACAGGCAGAACCAGAGTGAGGACGAAGCGAACCGAGGGGGTAGGGTGACACTCGATGTAAAGACCTCTGTCCTCTTGGCCGACAGAGGGCGAAAGCTTGGGCGCTGCAGAGAAACGCGGGTGGATTAACCCTTGTTGCAGCCCTGGCCTGGCCTCTTTGTCTGCCACCTTAATGAATCCGTGCGCTGCAGCTGGGATTCAGACACACATACAGCTGCCCTTGATCTGCAGTAAATATCCGCCCTCCCCTTGTTTTACTTTTTTCTCTTTTCTCATAATTCCAGGGCCACAGGGTGAGAGCATGGGAGGGGGGGAGGGGATTACACCTGGGCGGTCACTGCGGCTCTGTTTGGTCACACACAAATCTAACAATCCAGTGGTTTAAACAGAAAGTCAGGACGGCGAAAGAAGAGAGGGGGGTGATGTAGAGATGACACGGGGAAACAGAAAAGAGGGGTTTCGCACACATGAAACATCCTAAATTTTTACTGCGGCAGATGCACCTCAGAAAATACTGTCCCCCTTCCTTTTTTTCCTCCCCTTTCGCTTTGTTCCTTTTGCACCGAATGCTTCCTCTCTCCTCTCCAACATCCCTGCCACACACACTTAAAAAATGACAGCTAACTTAAAGGTGAGGGAGGTAGAGAAGGTAAATGTACGTTCAGATCTCACCCGGTGTCGTTCACCTGTGGTCCTGAAGCAGCGCACTTCCACCGCTTTGCTCAGCGCAAAAAGCATCCTAACACAAACATTTACAACTCACAAAAATTTCATCGATACACGTGTCATGGTTTCGAAGCTGGAGTTTGAACTGCTTTCAGTTGTATTATCTGTCCACTGCTTTAAAGTCTTCATCCAAGAAAAGCTGCGGTGGCTTTTTGTTTTTGCTGTCATGGTGCTCCTTCATTATGAAAATCATCCTAGAATTATAAAAGCTCAGACAGAATTCAGACACCCGTGTCTGTTCTCACCTTCTCACCAAGTATCCCGACAGTGCACTCCGAGAGGACACAAAATGAGGCCTGGCAGCTCTGTCCAGGTCCTCTGTTAACTTCTC